TCCACGTGTAGTCACTAATGCTGGTCTCACTGTAAAGTAAAACAAATGCAAAAGAGTAAGATGATCCAAGAAAGTGTTGGGCATTGCTGTGATTCCTAGCTATTTTAATGTTTGCAATCCCTTAATATGACTATTAGGTTCAATGTCTATGAATGAGCAGTTCAATCAAAAAATAATTTCCCCCACTCTGACTGGTTTATTCCAAGAATTTTAATGCCGAAAAAGCGAAAATTGGAAAATATTTGACAAGAAACAAGCCACGACTTGTCAAAAAAGGAGAATAAACACAAACATACCCTGATCCTCCTGAGGATAGAAACCACTGCTTTCAGAATGCTTTTGGACCAAAATAGTGTTTGGGGGAAAAAAAACCTAATTTGTCAGTTTTTAAAAATTGCTGAATGCCTCTGTGCTGGTGACTGCCATGTCTGGAGGCATTATATGCATGTTTTTGGGTTGTACATCCGTCCATCCCACTCTTGTGAAGATCTTAGGAATGCCCTGAGTTTCTTCCAGTTTGGCACAAGCTTCCACTTGAACAAGGACAATGTGATAAAGCTCTCTATCAGTCCTCTGTACTCCTCTAAGTGAAGAAGTGATTCACTATAACTGCACAATAGTGATAACTTACCAAAAAAAAAAACAAAAAAACAATATCTTTTATTGAATTCCCTCAAAGTCTTCACTACATATACACCAATCAGCCATAACATTATGACCACTGATAGGCGACGTGAAGAACACTGATTATCTCGTTGCAATGGCACCTGTCAGTGTGTGGGGTGTATTAGGCAGCAAATGATCATTCAGTCCTCAAAGTTGATGTGTTGGATGCAGGAAAAACAGGCAGGCACAAGGATCTGAGTGACTTTGACAGAGCATCTTCCAACCTGTTGGTCTTGTTGGGTGTTCCTGGTCTGCAGTGGTCAGTACCTAAAGTACAGTGTCTAAGGAAGGACAAACTTGCTAACGGGTCATGGGCGCCCAAGGCTCACTGATGATGAGGTCAACCTACTGTAGATTAAACTTTTAAAATATCATTAATCCTTTTCTATGAAGGAAAAACATTTAGTTTTAGCTATAGCGGTGTATCACACCTGGAGTCGGGAGGCTGTCGAATTTGTCTAAAACATTATCTCTAACTTGTCCTCAGGACCACAGTCTTCACTCCTTTTACACCAGTTTTTCAATGAATGGTCAACACATTTGTGCTCTTCCTGACAGTAGAACTATGGAAGCAAACTGATTCACAGAAGCTGCACAGTGAGCTGCAGAGTGAGACGAGTGTCAACCAACTGACTCCTGTGTACACAGTAACAGGCAGGTGGTCATAATGTTATGGCTGATTGGTGCACATGTATGATTCTGGACAGACAAAAAATGTAAACTGCAACTTCACTGGGTGGTAGATTCATACAAATGAGGTGGTGGCTAATTCTATAGTTTTGAAAGAAAATTTTGATTAAAATAATGCCCAAATCAAGAGTGTGCCTTTCTTAGCACACCACATCTCCAAAACATTCAGTGAGGATTTTTTTTCCCAAGTTTTAGCAGAAGCCAAGATTTCACCAGCGTTTCTTGGGTAATAAAAGACCATGAGTAATAAAAGAGTCTCCTAGCATGTCTGATTTTTTCCAGCATCTTGCAAAACTCACCAGTTATGACTCCTTGAATCACATCGCAGTTCTCCGTGCCACTGAAGTATTGCTGTATTATTTGCCTGATTGCAGATGTCACTCTTATTTATTCACAATTGTATTTGGCTTTGTAAAAACGTGTTTGCCTACTAGCTGTAACTTCTATATGTATAACCCAAGTAATAGCAGCTTGCCTTACAGATTCATGCAGCCCAGCATTATCCCTGCACACAACAATAGCTTTTGGACTGCTGGGTCTATATTTAGCATGCTCCTACTCACAATTTGATGTTTCAATAGACACAAATCAAAGCCCTTCAAACAGATGCTGCCCACACACTGGAGACCCTCTGAATTTCTATCAAGGCTGCTCACATTCTCAATACATGTCTGTCAGTGTTTTCAGAGTCTTTGCTAATCTAGTATTCACACTAACAGAGAGAGACTGTCACCCCTTGATCATTGGCTGTCTTTGCTTTTTCTCAGTTCTTTTTTCTGCATGCTCTGGCTTTTGAGTGTCTTGCTTCACTGTGCTGTGAACATGCAGTGTTTCTGGGTGCACACCTCGTCCACTTTAGTGCAGAATCCCCATTTAAGAGACTGTTGATGTCTCTTATGGACGACGTGTGTGGGACTGCGTTAAGACTTTCCAGCTTGCGTGTCTCTGGGAGTCTATGAGTGTTTGAGACATAATTGTGTTGTTCCATTGCAATAGTGGTAGTCGGAGGTGTCCCTGGCTGATAAGCTGCTCTCTAGACCAGGCCTTATGCACAGGCCACAGGAGACTTCATACACAGCCACACGCATCCAAAGCTTCTGTGTGTGTCTTGGGTAGTTACTCCCACTTACCTGCGGGTCCTTTGAGAAAATCGTGTGAAAGCTTTGCTCAGGCTCCAGAGATTAATGCTGTTTTACCTGGAGAGCTGAGGCAGAGATTCATAAATAAATTCCCTCCTTCACACACACACACACATTCACAAGAGTATTAAAGGATAATTAATTTAAACTTAAAGTTTTGACTATTGGTTGTAACATTTTATTTACCATATGGCTTCCCCTTTAAAAAATTCTAGCTGCTCCCTCACATTACTTCTCAGACGGTTTGGTGTCATTGTTATCAATACACGTTAATGAAGAGAACAGTATTTGCCTTGTCTGTGGACTGGAGCTACACCAAAAATGAAATTTAACAAATTCTTATCAGAAATGGGTTTATTTTGAAAAATGATTATATTCAAATGTATTGTTATGAGACTTTTTAAAATAATATCTGTGTCAGCATCAAAAATCCAGACTTGGTTGGGTTCTAGATAGGTTAAAAGGACAAGCAATAGATCAGAGCATGCTT